AACAATTTGGCACGGCTACTGGTGGCAAAGATGCTCTCCCACAGACACTCATACTCCTTTCGCTTCTCCACTCCTCCAAAGTGGGACAGAGGACTTATTTTTGCTGGGGAAAGGTTGCCCAGTTTTGTCGGCAGAAGGCAGCGCAGAGGGCCCGGCCCGGGCTCGCTAGATGCCAACATCTAGGTTTAGGAACGAGACGTTGCTGTACAGCTGTGACGAGACCGAGCTGCTCTCCAGGGTGCAGGTCCGAGCAGGCAGCGGGGACGGAGCGTGCTCCTCTCTTGACTCCTCACTCTCTCTGCTCCTAAGAAAGTTTAAAAAGAAAGAGAGATGCTATTTGCAAACTGCTTCTGTTGCCAACTCCACACCCAAAGGGCCTCCAGCAGTGACCTCAAAGATTTGCCATCTTTTTGGACAGTCCCAAAAGGAAGGTGAAGACAGACAAGGAACAGTAGCAGAGATGACTCGTGAGGTCCGTGGTCCGGGAAGCCATTTCGCACAGAATCACAGGACAGTCCCTGTTCGCTGAAAGAGCCACCAGCTCTACGAGGGGACCGAAGGCTGCCGAGTGTGCCCTGCTCCAGAGCTCAGGGGAGCAAAATACCTCCCGTGTTACGTGCCATGATCGTGGGCCCAGGTCATGGGACGCAAGGCCCTCTTACCCCACCTTCTTTAATCCCAGGGAAGGGCATGAGCTCAAACTCCGAGCCTCTGTGGGACTGTCCTCTCTCGCAACCAAAAAGCAGACGTACAGACACAGCTGGCAGCCCCACGCACAGACACAGACGCGCACAGGACAGGCAAAAAATGCACAGAAACGCAGACGACGCCAAGGGTGAAGAAAACGTGGAGGAGGGTAGTGATGGAGCTGAGAGTGGAGCAGGCACCCGTGGGCGATCCCGCGAGGCTGGAGCAGCAGAGAGGCCTGGGGGTGCAGCAGGACAAGAGCATACAGAAAGGTGGGTGCAATGGAGGAGCTCTGATGCAGGGCTGATTTGGGTAGAGAACGTGGCACAGGCTAGGGAGGAAAAAAAAGGAGAACAGGGAGCTCCAAGGGCCAGAAAAGCTGGGATGTTTCAGCTGGTAGAAGGCGTCAATGCAGAAAGTGAAGAATCTTAGCTTGGGAGTTCATGACCGAAAGCGGTGGAAGGCACAGGACAGCCGGGCAGGAAGATCAGCAGGATTTGTCCGTCGCTTGCCAGCAGCGCGGTGAGCGTTGCTGCAGGAGGGCTTTGCCCCCGTGCAGCGAGGTGCCCTCCGGCAGCACCGCACCTCGCGGGGACTTACGGCACGGCACGGAGCTTCCTGCGCAAAAGGTAGTCGATGACATCAGGGTCTGTCTGAAAGAGCCTCCTCAGGACGTCACGTTGCATTTCTGGAGAGACCTGGGAGAGGTACACCGACACACTCGCTCACGGCATCTCCTCCCCTCTGCAGGGAGAGGAGCAGAGGCAGCCGAGGACAGCAAAAGGACTGCGGGTCGATACCTGCTCACAGACCCACCGTCTCGGTGTCACCTCCCACACACCTCCCGGGGGTCTGCGCAGGATCTCAGCCCCGGCTTTCCCCCACACTGACCCCAATCCTTTGGCTCCCCGTAGACCTGACAATTGCTACAAGGCTTTTTGGGGACCTGAAATGTCACATTCCCATAGACCTGTAGTAAAGGGACATTTCTGGTATTTCTCAGGAATTTCCCAGGTCCTCTCCTAAAAGCAGGGCCAGGAGGACTCCTCAGGGTATGCTCTTGCTGATCCAGATGTTCTGCCAGGGTTTCACAACAGCTGGGCTGTCCCCAAGGAGCGCAGCTACGTGATCGCATGGCACCTACCGACATCGCATCCCTTGGGGACTGCTTCGGAGCACCCAAGTCACACAAAGCACCTGTGGAGCTCAGACTGGCACCTTGCTGCATACCTGCCGGGGCTCTCCTGCTCAACCACCGTACCCACCTCAGAGCCTGCACCGAGCAACCCCGCCTGTGCCCAGGTACTGCACTGCACCGCTCTCATCCTTCTCCACCAGCACCTCCCAGAGAAGAGCGGAGCCCAGAGGGGCAGCCCCGTTCTGCCATGCCTCCCTGGCACCCGTGCTGCAGCAGGGCAGAGCGGAGAGTGCAACAGCGAAGGCTTGAAGTCCATCTGGACAACCATGCAGAGCAGGATTCAGCCAGGAGAAGATGCAAGAGGCTCTTACTGCTGCCTGTAAATGCCCCACGGGAGGGCGGAGAGAAGATGGAGCCAGACCCTTCCCAGAGGTGCCTGGGCACAGACCGAGGTGCAGCAGGGACAATTCTGACAAGGAGAAAATTCTTCCCCTGAGGGTGCTGTGGCCCTGGGACAGGACCCAGAGAGGTCGCAGCTCTCCATCCCTGGAAATAAGTAAACCCCAGCTGGATGCAGCCCTGCTCTAGCTCTGAGGTGAGCCCTGGTCTGGAGGCCCCAGAGGTTCCCATACAAACCTGTACATGACTCTCAAAGATGCTTCTGGGAACCCCAGGTCGATGCATCCCCTAGGACAGGATGAGCACTCCCTGCCTCACACTGATGGTCCAAATCACTCACTGAAGAGCAGACCTGAAGCCATCCTGTCCTTCACTGCCCTCACTACCTCTCCCCACTGTTACATCCTCCCCACGTCTGCCTCAGGCTGTGGCATCTCCACCCCACACCATCACCTTCCAGCTCCCTCCCTCTTCTAGGGTCTCCCATTTTTTTCCTCTTCTTTCCCCCCCTCACTGGGACTGTGGGAAGAAACAGGATTGAGGTGCCACTCCTGCAGTTGCTGTCAGCCAGTTGTCCCAAACAAGCTCGGTCAAATGTCACCGGGGTGGAAAGCGACAGAGAAGAGAGGACCTGTTCATGGCATGACCCTCAGCTCTGCCTTTACACCACCAGTAACAAGCCATCCCAAATTAGTATTTACACCTGCCATGAGGAATGAATCGCATTTTCACAAGCCAACTCGAGTCACCTGCTGCTATGTGGGGCTGTGAATACATCCGTCCTTCTGCTGCCACCAGCAGAGGTCAGAGGGGAAGGAAAGGTCTAGAGAAGCTGCCCTGAGAAAGCCTCACCTACCGTGAACAAGGTCTGGTAGTGCTCAATCAACCTCTGGACCACCAGGATGATGGCAGCGCTGTCTTCAAAGTTCATGGCACCAGTGTCTTTCTCTCCAGGCTTCTCTTTCTGCAGGATGTTGGGACCAAAGATTGTGGCCAAGTTTGAAACTGTCATTTTATTCCCAGGAATCTAGCAAGTAAGCACAAAAGGAAATTGCAGATTATTGATGCATCAGCATGAGATGTCCCAGGATGGCCTCACCCACCCCAGGACAGGAACGCGAGCTGCTGAGGCCGGGGTGTTGATCTGGGTCCAGTTTGGTCCTCTCCGAGCTGTTGGCAGGGCCAGCACGAAGGGTTTGTGGTGCTGGAGCACACACTCACCCCCTCCTGGCACCAGGGCCTCCATTCCCACCTACCTCACTTTCACAACCGCTTCCAAAAGGTAACAATCAATATTTCTGCATCATCTTACAATACGAGACAAAACCAGTCTCTTTGAATCACAGACTTGGAGCTCGAATAGTCCAGAGAAACCAAAATCAACCTCAATGCACCTTCATGAGCCCTTCATGAAAGCTGGAGGTGGAAAATAAGTCCACAAAAAAACGCCCCTTGTGCTGCCTACAGACGCGCAGCCAGGTGTCTCTGGGGTTACTGCAACCCAGAAAATCACCTCGCTGGCCTGAGAGCAACCCCGACCCGCCATGGGCAGGGGGCTTTATCACCAGTCTGCTTTTGCCAAAGGATTCACTTAGGTTTGCAAGAAGCTCTGCTTGGTTTTAACCAACAAAGTTTGAGCAACCCCTCCCTCACGCCGTCGACCCGGTTGGGCCAGCCTTACCTCCCGGCCGTCGGGGCCCCAGGAGCTCTCGGCGTGCCGGGCCACCTCGCTGAGGAACCGCAGGAGCCGGTGCAGCGTGTCGCTGTGGCAGGGGGGGC